GTGTCAAGTTCCTGTAATTCCAGTACCTGGAAGGTAGATTCAGGGGGATCAGGAGTTCAAGGCCAGCCTTAAATTAATTCGATGGAAAAGAAGGCTATTGAAACGTGGGCAGGGACAGTGGCAACAAAAATGGAAGACGGAACATTTATTTTGGAGGTTCAAGTTTTTTGATTATCTGGGGGGTTCTTTGCTATTGTTGTTTTTCTCACATCGTAGCCCAGACTGGCCTCGAACTCATCACAATCTACCTGCCTTGGCCTCCAAAGTGCTGAGATTATAATCTCAGTCTTTTTGTTTGAGACAGGGTTTCTCTGTGTAGCCTTGGCTGTCCTTGAAAACTGTGTTGACCAGGCTGACTTTGAATTCACAGAGCTCAGTCTGCTTATGCTTCCTGAGTGCTAGAATTAAAAGCACCGCCTGGCTTTATTTATTTATTTATTTATTTATTCATTCATTCATTCATTCATTCATGTAATGAGTTAAGTAATGAGAGTTAAGGATGTTTTCCGGATCTCAGAACACTAACATAAATAAATAAAGGGAATGCTAAAAAGCACATGAAGACAACACTGAGTTCAATATTGGCTGTATCTGTGAGACACCAGAGAGAAATCCTAGAGCAGACACTGACTGTGCCGAGAGGCTCATGAGCTCAGATGAGAGGCCGACTACACGCTAACTGAAGCCATGGAGGAGGTAAACTAGGTCACGGTCTTAGTCACTGTTCCATTGCTGTAAAGAGGCACCATGACCAAGGTAACTTTTTATAAAAGAAAGCATTTATTTGACAGCTTGCTTAAAACTTCAGAGGGTTAGTCCACTATCACCAGGCAGGAAGCAGACAGGCGTGGCACGGAGAGCTTGCATCCTTATCCACAGGCAGGGAGGAAGTTGGGGGAGCCCTGGCTTGGGTGTGGGCTTCTGAACCTCAAAGCCCAAGCACAGTGACACACCTGCTGCAGCAAGGCCACACGTTCTGATCCTTCCCAACTACTGGGGACTAAGCAAGCAAACACCTGAGCACAGGAGCTTATGTGGGCGTTCACACTCAAATCATCGGTGTCTTGGGAAGAACACTCAGGTAAAAACGAGAGGTGGAGGCTGAAGCCGAATAACCAAAGAGACAGAAAAACCAAGAGTCTAGCATCAATGACACTGAGGAAATAGGTGGCGAGAGCAACTAACAACGGGGACAAGTGACTGTGATTTAGAAATATGGAAGACGCTGGAGGCCTGAGGAACTTCTGAAGAACGGGCCAGAATTGAAATTCTGGTGTGCTGAGGGGAGACAGGGAGGTGAGGACCAGGGACATCAAGTATAATGTTTCCAGAACTGTAGTGAGAGAAGCCAGCGGCTGGAGAGGGAGGTGGAGTCCAGGACGGTTGTATTCTGTGGTGCCGAGGACTGAACCTGTGAGGGAAGCACTCCACTTGTTTTGTTATTGAGATTTATTTCCATTGCTTGGGGCTTTTGTTGTTGTAGTCCTTGCTTGTTTTGAGACACACAGGGTCTAAAACTGTGTAGCTCCTAGCTGACCTCAAACTTATTTTGTAAACTAGGCTGGCTTTGAACTCACAGAGACCTGCCTGCCTCTGCCTCCCAAGTGTAGACATTAAAGGTATGCACCACCGTCGCTGGGTAAGTTATTACTATTATTTTAATTTACATGAAGGTGTGTGTACCTTCATTTGGGTACCTGCGGAGGCCAAAAAAAGATGTCAGATCTCCTGAAGCTGGACTTATGGGCAATTATGAGCTTCCTGATATGGATGTGAGGAACTGAACTCCAAACCTCTGAAAGAGCAGCAAGTTCTCTTAACTGCTAAACCATAGTCAGGCTGGTCTTGAACTCATTCTGTAGTCCACCCTGGCCTCCAAATTGCAATCTTCTAGCCTTTGATTCCTGCACGCCACACCACCAGGCCCAGCTCAGGGGAAGATTTTTAAAGATAAGAAAATCTACCTGTCAGTGCTCATGGAATGCAATGAATAAGGGAGACGGCTCAGCGATGAAAGCATTTGATGCCCAATTATGGGACTAGAGTTCAGATCTCCAAACCTGTGCCAGATGGGAATAGCCTGTTTTTTTTTTTTAAATAAATTTATTTATTTATTTATTTATTATGTATACAATATTCTGTCTGTGTGTATCCCTGCAGGCCAGAAGAGGGCACCAGACCTCATTACAGATGGTTGTGAGCCACCATGTGGTTGCTGGGAATTGAACTCAGGACCTTTGGAAGAGCAGCCAGTGCTCTTAACCACTGAGCCATCTCTCCAGCCCCCGGGAATAGCCTGTTTTAGTTAGGGTTTCTATTGCTGTGAAGAAACACCATGACCACTGTAGGCAGAGTTCTCCTGTCCTGAAGGTCTGCTCCCAAATAACCAGGAGTCATTTCCCAAACAATTGACTCGGAGACTTAATGTAAATGATAATAAATGCTTGGCCGGTAGCTTAGGCTGGTCACTAGCTAACTCTTACACTCAAATTAACCCTTATTTTTTATTTATGCTTTGCCACGTGGCTTGGTACTTTTTCTCAGTACGGTGTGCCCATCTTGCTCTCTCCGTCTGCCAGTGACTCTCCTTCGCAGCATTCTCAGTTTGGCTTACCCCACCTAACCATATTCTGTTCAGCTACTGGCCAGTTGGCTTGTTTATTAAACCAATCACAGTGACAAATCTTCACAGTATACAAAAGGATTATTCCACAGCAGACTACGGCAACTCTTCTAAGGGAAAACATTTCATTGTGGTGGCAGCTTACAGTTCAGAGGTTCATTCCACTGCCATCACAGTGCGACATGGTGTTTTGCATCTTAGCTTGTAGTCAACAGGATATGGTCTATAAGTAATACTGAGCAAAGCTTGAGCAAAAGAGATCTCAAAGTCTGCCCCGACAGTGACATATTTCTTTCAACAAGGCCACACCAACTTCAACAAACCTACAGCTCCTAGTAGTGCCTGCCGCTCCCTTTGGGTCCATTTTCTTTCAAACCACCACAGTTTCCTGCCTATAATTCCAGTGCTTGGAAGACAGAGTGGAGTCCCAGGAACAAACTGGCCATATCAGTGAGCTGTGGGTTCAAATGAGAGATGTTGCTTCATTGAGGAAGGCAGACAGAAGCTAAGGAAGACTCCAGACATCAACCTTGGGCCGCCGCATATTCACACACACACACACACACACACACACACACACACACATGAGAGTGTGTGTAAAGAAAAAATAAAAATTTGAAAATAAAAATGCTACATAAGAAAAATCTCTGAATGGACAGGGATAAGACTGTCCTTGGGTAGGAAGGACATTCCCTTAGTCTAAAAGAAAGTGGGAGGAACAAGAACAGCTAGAATGCACTGAGCTGTACTTCAACAGAGACAGCATCTGTTCTATAGGGATTCATGTGGCCATGTTAGGAATTGTGGTGAAGGCAAGCTGAGTTAATTTTCACTTAATGGCTTGTACTGTCTTTATAAAGTAGATGTACGAGACAATGGGAAACGAGGGGCTGAAGCTGGAAATGGCTGACAAGAGTCATACAAGCAGCACCCTACAGAAATGGTAGGGCTGCCCCGTGCAAGAAAAGGACTGTACAGTTCCTGGGACATAATGGATAATGGTTACTCTAACCAACAAGAGCTCTCTGCCAACTCAGTGATCATCAGTACTGACCTGTAGTTGACAGATCTCACAGAGCTCCACTTGCCTTTCCTCCACAAGTGCTAGGATTTCAGGCGTGTGCCACCAGGCCCAGCCTAGATTACAGTTCTTACCAGCAGGCATTAGTGTCATCTTAATGATTATGAATTGATGGTTATAATTATACAAGCCACCCTTCTCAGGTAGTGTCTGCTATTAGTCTTCACATTCTTATATATAGTTGTCTCATCAAACAGAGTAAGTTTCTGAGAGGAAAACTGTACCGGAAGTCTCTATGTCCTCACACTTCCTTACATGTAAACGTGGGAGTGGTTTTGTTTTGTTGCTTGCTTGCTTTTAAAGTTTTTATCATATTTGTTTATTCATTGTGTGTTTATGTGGAGAGATCAGAGAACAACCTCTAGAGCCAGGCCTCTCTATCCTCCATGCAGTTCCTGGTGCTCAAACACAGGCTGTGAGGCTTCAGGGCAAAAGTATTTAGCACTGAGCCATCTTGCAGGCCCCTTGTTGTCTGCTTCCTTTGGGAAAGGTCTCACACTGTATCCTAGACTGGTCTTGAATCAAGGCATGCTTTCTGACTCAGCTTCCCAAGTGCTATGATTGCAGGCATTCATGAATTAACCACACAAGAGGCAACTTACTTCTTTCCCCTGGTTAAAACACCAAGCACCTGTTTCTTTGTTTGAAGGCAGCCAAACAAATGTGTACTTTTTATTTTATTTGTGCTGGGGAGTTTTCTGTGACCTAAAATGTATGAACATGATCATCTGCAATAGGAGCTATTAGGTTTTCACAACAAAGACCCCCTCCCTACCAAGGCAATATAAAGTGCCAGTACTGCACAACAGTGAAATGTGTCCAGAAAAGTCGCTACTCGTGTGAAAATTCCACATGGACACAGATCCTCTAGATCCCAGTCTAGATACAGATCTGCATCTGGCTGACAGTCACAGAGAGGCTAAATGAGAGAAATATTGTGATTTTAGTTTTACCACAGTTCCACCCTTCCAGTATTCTGATGATGTGAGGTGTACAATCCAAAATATGGGGAGATGATGTTGTTCACCTCAAAAAGTTCAACATTAATTAGGGTTCTGTTGCTATCTCCTAGTAAGATGGTTCTAGCTAGAAGGGAAATACAGCAATTTTCCCAACCCCCAAACTAGAGCCCAGAAATAGATCTTACACAATTGGCACCTAACTAGTATTAAAAGTAAACATTTTATTATATAACAAAGTTAGTTTCAAAAATTTACATCAATAAATTTAAAAGCCATTCTGAGCACAATAAAATATTGGCCATTATGGACACCTTGCACTTTTCAGAAACCTGGTACAAAACAAAGGATTAAGCTACACGTGAGAGGGCCACATTATTGTGCCCATGGCAGCAGCAGAACAAAGTGTGAGCTGCACAACTGGAACCACTGTCCTCGAGGCAACTGATGCAGACAAAAGAAGAACAGAGGCCACAAGCCACAACGCCTGAACTCAGGCTGAACTGCCTCTGATCCAGTTCCAATCACTCCGACAAGTCGCTCTGATCCAGCACAATTATCCTGTGTACACAGATTTTAAAGAAAAAAAAGGGAAGCTTTGAGTTCATACATACTTTAAAGAATTCTTATGCAATGCTTGGAATCACATCCCAGGCCTCATACAAACCAGGCAAGCATTCTGCCACTCACTCAGCTCATATCCTAAGCTCATATGTGTGTGTGTGTGTGTGTGTGTGTGCATTCTAAACACACACACACAAACACACACACACTTTTCCTATTCTATTCAACTGAAGTCACAGAAAAGGAATTTTATCTGTATAATCAAAGCAGATAGTGATCAACAACATAGCATGGGCTGTAAAATGACTACAAAGCAACCGAAAGTAGCATCTTTCATATTCCATGTATGAAACCTTCCTTGAGCAGACATCACTTATTTAAGCAAAGTTGGCATTAACTTCACCTTATATTTGTCAATTACAGATATAAAATATAAACTGATCGGCTTGGTGTAGATGCAATCTGTCAGTGATATTTATTTAGAGACTGGTAAATATTTGAAGTCTGCTCATGCAATCTAAAAAGAACAAACTCTGACCTATAAATACACTATCTCATTACCTGGAAGGTTCAGACCAACTCAGTTGCTTCCGGAAACAGGGCTTTAGTTCATCTTGATGAAACACAAGAGGAAGGGGGAAAAAGCCTGGTTACTTTCTAGGTCAAGGGCTGTCAGAATGCAGTATTCACATTACAGTGCTCTCTAGTGTGCTGTTTCCTCGTTTATTCTACGCTATAAAGATATGATTTTCCTGAAAACATAGCCAAAGGATCCTTCTCCTAATATCCTAGAGCCCCCTGTGATAGCAATGGGTACCCAGTGACACTAATTCAAAAGTCCCTGCATGACCTTTCCAAATTCCCTGAGTTATCTTCTCAGTGAATTCAGTCTTGGCTCAATGTCTATATACTCTGGGCCCTATGCCAATCAGAGTTCTGGAGGAAATGAAATGTATACAAACTAGTACAGATAAAGATTTCTTAACAAAGTGGCTATACACAAAGGTATAATTAGAGTCTGGGGACAAACAAGGACTGACAAGGCATCTATTGGCTAGTAGCTGCGGGAGGCCTAGGTGGAAGGCAGCTGAGCAGTGGGGATGGGATGGCTCCTGGAAACTGGAGCAGGAACTGGAGTTCGGAAAGACAGGACACCATGGCTACCAGGCACAAGGTGCCCAATTGGTAGGGGAGGGAAGCGATGAACAATTCTCTTGCCCTCTGATCTTCTGCCAGGGCCCCCATTGGCTAACAGAAAGCCAAGGAGATGCAGTCCATAGGGTCTGCATCCTGAGACATAAAACAGGGCAGAGAAGGAGAAGGAAGAGGAACTAGGGATGGGAAGACTAGATGACCTGGAAGGGTGACTATCTCACTCCCTGAGTAAAATCAACACAGGAGCTCACTTGTAAAGGCCTATTAGAAGCCTGATATTCTATTAGAGTAGTTTTGAAATAAAGGTTAATTTACAACTTTTACATGACTTTTTAACTTCATTTAAATTCTGTAATATATGATTTCTTCAGTACCCACGGAAGCTAAATTTAAAACTCTTAAAATGCTATCTTTCATTTATGTGTATGTGTGCATGACACACATGCTTATGGAGGCTCGAAGACAGCTTACTGCAGAAGGGAAGCTCCTTCCTCTATGTGGCTTTTGGGATCAAACCTAGGTCCCTCAGGCTTGGTGGCAAGATCCACTGAGAAAACTCAAAGCCCTTGATTTTTGTTTTGTTTTTAGGCAAGGTATCCCCAGTTGGCCTTGAAATCTGTGGGTGATCCTCCTGCTACTACCTCCTGAGTGCAGAGGCATGCATCACCACACTCAGCTTAAATTTAAAATGCTTTTGAATATATTTAAATGCAAAACAGTTCTACAGACAATGAACAAATTGAGGCTGGCCCATGGCTTGTTTTAGAAACAGAACTGAAAAGCCAGGAGTGTTGGCTTGTGCTACAATCCCTACACCTGTTAGGTGAGAGGACTGCTTTGACTTTGAGATGCTGAATGAGGCCAGAGTGAGATGTCGTCTCACAAAACTACAGAACAGCCAGGCGATTCTGGCAACACACCATTAACTCCAGCACTTGAGAGGCAGAGACAGATGGATCAAGGCCAGCCTGCTCTAAAGTTCCAGTACAGCCGAGGCTACACAGAGAAATCCTATCGCAGGGAAAAGGATAAACAAAAGAAAAAGAAAAAAACCCAAATTTTATGATGTTGCTGTTTTGTGATGAAGTTATGATTGGCAATTCTCAGAAATGCTGAGCTGAAGTTTAAGAAAAAAGACATGACCCCATACTACACAACAATCATCCATCCATACCTTCTTCCAAAGCCCCTAAGACGCTGTCTGATTTCCTTCTCTCCAGACTGATGCTTTCTTTCCTTTTTTCCTTCTGATCAACAACATCTTGATCTTTGGGTTCTTTCTCCCTTTAATGACAAATGAGTTGAGGCATTAAACACATACATAACTGTCAGGGGAACAAGACTATGCTCCAAAGTAAACAAAGAATACTTAGTACTGATGACATGTTCCTACAGGGTCAAGTGTTAGTATATTTATTATGTATTTTTGGTTTTTATTTGTTTATCTTTAATTCCTATTTTATTTTTATTATTTATTTACTTATCTATCTGCTTATTTTATTTATAGACAGGGTTTCCCCATATAGGCCTAAGTGCCCTGGAACTCACTAAATAAACCAGGCTGGCCTTGAACTGAGAGCAATCTGCATGCCTGTCGCCAGAGTGCTGGGATTAAAGGCATGTGTCACCATGCCAACAAGGTTAGTTTAAACATATGTAAACTCATTTCCTTTTCAGAACTGTATGAAACAGTTCCTGCTACCCATCTACATTGTGTGATGTGAAAACCAAGACACGGGAAATGACATACTAAGAAGTTCTAGAGTTAAGATCTAACCCAGATAGCCTATGCAATCAAACTCTGTTTTCAATCATTAGACATACATAGCTAGCTTCAAAGAACAAAAAGAGTATTTCCCTTATAATCAACATTCTCTTTGAAATAATTTACCACCTTGTCTTCATATCCCCCTGTGATATGGGAAGTCTAAATAAGCATCTTACAATTCAAAGCCACATTCTCCTTGAGAACAGTCACCCCTCTAGATGGGAGGGGACGGCTCTTTCTTGCTTAACTTCATTAACACAATCAGAGGCAAAGGCCTTTATCTTCTACTTCTGCCCAACACTCAAGACCACAGTCATCCAGTCCCCTGGGCAGCTGCAGCTTCTGTGAAATGGAAACACTGTTTCCTCTCGGCAATGGCTGTGCTCAGCAGAAAGTTTGTGCTTCACTAGTCAAAGTCTGTTACTCTGCCACATCTAGTCACCAGCTCCGTCCTCTGGGGTGGAGACATTAAGTAGATTTCTCTTCATGTGATAGCATTTCAGGCATTTAGGGAAGCTATCAAATTCTCCACTCGTCCGCTCTTTTCAGGCTGAGTCTCCCTGGCTCCTCAGTGTTCTCACACCGTGACTATTTGTGTCCTCTCTGTGGACCACTACCATCCATTAGAAGAGTGTCCTAGGAGCCCGCCCACAGCACATCCGTTACTCCTGCCGCACTTCCTTCATCTGAACAGTTCATGTCTGTGTACCCTGCATTAATGCTATGTGGACCTTTTCAGAAACTAAGTGCTGGGCATATGGACTAAGACTTCCTGCCCTCAAAGAAATTACAGGAAATAGAATTTCCAATAAAAAATTATCAAGTAAGGTCTGCTTTCTCACACTGTATACTTTTGGATCTAAAATTTGCCGTTTGTAGGCTCTATGTCCCTCGGCTGACCTTGAACTTCTGGGCTCAAACAATCATCCCCCTTAAGACTTCTGAATAACTGAAACTACAGGTTCCTGCAGCAGCCATGCCTGGCTTTGTCTTTATCTTTTAGAGTGGCTAACATTTGCACCTGTCAAAATAAAATTTTTTCCATCACCTGTCACATTAGCATTCACTTCTAGATTTGGGTTATCTGAAAACTAGTTACATATGCCTTTCTGATTTAACTCTGATGACTGATGAACACATTGAAGGCACAGGGCTAAATCCAGTATTAGAGCTCTGGTATCAGTCTCCTAATTGGGGTCTTGGAGAGTAGGTGGTTGGAGGGAAGAGAGGCAAGTGTGAGCATGCAGACAAGTGAAGTCAGGCCTGGCTGATCTACAGCTGTGCAAACCCATCACCAGACAATCATCCCCCAATTAGTTGAAAGCCTAGCTACTTCCTGAAGAAAAAAATAAAAGACAGGAACTGGGAGCCTCGTTCTATGGAGTTCTATGCCCTAGGTACATAACAGTTTGTATGTTCTTTTCCCTGTGAAACCTAAGAAAATGATTCCTTAGTGGGGAAAGACAACCTTGTAGAGCCCTTGGAAGGGTCCAGCAGTGCCATGTTCTCCTCAGGTGACTGCAGCAATCTGTCCAGGTCCTCATCAAGAGAAGAATGAGCTCTGTCCAGGAGCAAGTACAGAGAAAGGTGACAAGAGTCATTTTCTCTCATAGCACATCACTGCCCTCAAATCCGGTGCTTCCACAAGAGCTGAGAGCATACTGTGTGAGACAGTGTCTTGACTCCCAGAGGTCACTTGTATCTAACTTATACGGACACTCAAATAGTCCGTTAGCTCCTTGACAAAACCCTGGCACCCATGAGATCACTCCCTCCAATGCCAACTGTTTCAGTTATAGGTTATTAATTCAGTTTCTATATGAGGTTTTTAGTTGTACATGCTTTTTATGTGTTTTTTGAATTACTTTTGATAGACGATAAAAGGTAATTTTTAGAAGGCCTAAAATGTACACTTTCCAACTGAAAAAAGATCTTCCATTCTATAGTAGTATCTAGGACTAACCATGCACATAGCACTGGGACACCTGAGCACTGGGGAAGACCTGCTTGTGGGTAGCACTGCCAGCCATTTTGAAAAATGAAGATAAAGGGGCTGGGGATGGGTTCAGTGAAAAAGTACTTCTCGAATAAGAATGAAGATCAGAGTTTGAACCACCAGAACCTACATAAAAGCCAGACCACCTGTAATCACAGAATTTAGAGGGCAGAGACACGGGGATCCCAGGTCAGGTGGCTAGCTCCAGGTATGACAGCTAAGTGGGTAGTGGTGTTTGCCTGAGGACCTGAGTTAGATCCCCGTGACTCACATAGTGCAGTCTATTCTCTGATATATCCACTTGTGTGCCGTGGCCATGCCACCACCCACCAGAAATAAGTAAGTAAATAAGTAAATAAATAAGTAAATAAATAAATAAATAAATAAATGTCAAAAAGGGAAGAAATAACAGTAACTTTTTTGAGACAGGATCTCATGTAGTCCAGGTGGCTTTTAACTGGCTATTCATCCAAAGTTGGTCTTGAACTTCTGACTGTCCCACTTCTACCTTCTGAGTGCTAGGACTACAGGTATGTGTCCCTTCAGTTTATGTGGTTCTGGGGATCAAATAGAAAGCCTAGGCTGGGCCGTGGTAGCACACACCTTTAATCCCAGCACTCAAGAGGCAGAGGCAAGCAGATTCTCTGTTAGTTCAGGCTCCAAAGCCACAGAGAAACCCTGTCTCAAAAAACCAAAAACGAAAAGAAAGAAAGAAAGAAAGAAAGAAAGAAAGAAAGAAAGAAAGAAAGAAAGAAAGAAAGTCTCAGCTCTTAAGATTCATCTCCCTTTGCAAATGTTTTAGGTTTCTCTCATCCTTCTTAGCCGTTAAGAGTGGGACAAATGCTGGATTCCAGTTTAGCCAATGAAATATAAGTGAATGTCTGCTGGGAAACTTCTGGAAGGGTTTTACTTCCCAAATAAAAGGGGATTGATGCCAGTAACATATTACTTTGTCTGACCCTCTTTTTACCTTTGCCTTTGTGTGAACAACAGCCATCTTGCCACCAGGAGACAGGTTTCGGGGGAAAGGCAGAAAAAATAAAGCCAGAGCAAAGGCCAACATGTTACAGGATAGAGCAGAAAAGTGAAAAAAGTCTAAGTTTCGAGCAAAATGACACTAGCAGTGCCTGACACCCATGAATCTCTTGTTAAATGAGAAACCCCCTTTAACCATGGCAGTGGGGCTTTCTATTCTTTGCTGCTGAAACAACTGTGCATGGCTTTCCTGAGGAGATGCAGGACCAAGATCAGCAGTAGGACAAGGAAAGGAGCAAGTGCCACCGCAGATCTAAGCCTTGTCTCTTTTCAAAGTTTATTTTGTTCATTGTGAACTAGTCTGCATTGACTTCAATCTTTTAAAAAAAATATTTTTATGATTCCTTTTATTTTCTATGTGCATTAGTGTTTTGCCTGCATGTATGTCTGTATGAGGGTGTCAGAACCCTGGAAATGGAGTTATAGACAGTTGTTAGCTGCCATGTGGGTGCTGGGAATACAATCGGGGTGCTCTTGACCTCTGTGCTATCTCTCCAACCCCAAGTTCAATCTTTTTAAATTTATATAAAAAATTACCTAAGACCAGAGGAAGGGTGTCTAGTCAGTATTCTATTGCTGTGAAGAGACACTATGCCACAGCAGCTCCTATAAAGACACCTTTAATTGGGGCTTAATTACAGGAAACACAGCAGCGTGCAGGCAGACAGTGCTGGAGAAACAGCTGACAGCTCTGTGTCTGGATCCACAGCAGCAGGAAGAAGAGAGCCACTGGGCCTGACTTGGGTTTCTGAACCCTCAAAACCCACCCTAAGTGACACATTTCCTCCAACAACGCCTTTTAAATAGTGCCACTCACTCCCTTTTGACTAAGCATTCAAATCTATGAGCCTATGGGGGCCATTCCTATTAGAGAAGAACTAAGTTCATTCCTCAGAACCCATGGTGGCTCACAACTACCTATAATCCCAGTTACAGATGGTACAATTCCCTCTCTGACTTCTTCAGACACCTGAGTGCACATGATGTACATCACTGGTACATACACATACACAAAAATAATAAATCTTTTTTATTTATTTTTTGTTGAAAAAATTTCCGCCTCCTCCCCGCCTCCCATTTCCCTCCCCCTCCTCACACTCCTCTCCCCCTTCCCCCCAAATAATAAATCTTTAAAAAATTAAAAGCATGGTCTCAAAACAAGCCTAATGTTTCATCAACAGAAAAAATTGGGGGAAAAAAAGAGAAGGCAGCTGTGATGGATCAAGCCTGTAGTCCCAGCACTCCAGGGGCTAAGCAGGAGGCCTGCCACAAGTTCATTCCCAGGGGGGGTGACAGTGTCAGTCCTTGTCTCAAACAAAAGAAGTGATAAGCACACATTCCACAAAGAAGAATAAGATCCAGTGAGACAGCTTAGCAGATAAAGATGTGTCAGTCAAGCCTGACTGGCTGAGTTCAATCCTCAGGACCCACGTGGTGGAAGGAGCGACCCAGCACCCACAAGTTTTCTTCTGCCCGCCCTATGAACACTAGGGTGTGCTCTCTCTCTGTCTGTCTCTGTCTCTGTCTCTGTCTCCCTCCCTCTCTCCTTCCCTGGGCTGGGCAGTGGTAGCGCATGCCTTTAATCCCAGCACCTGGGAAGCAAAGGCAAGAGGATCTCTGTGAGTTCAAGGCCAGCCTGTTCTCCAAAAGCTAGTTCCAAGACAGGCCCCAAAGTTACAGAGAAATTCTGTCTCAAAAAAAAAAAAAAAAAGAATGAAATTTGCAAAAAAGTGGATAGAGCCTTGAGACAAACATTTCATGTATTCCTCTCACATGTAAAACTATAGTTAAATTTCTGTTTCTGTCTGTGTGTGTTACAAAAATAGAAGGAGACTGTAAGGAAGGAGGTTCAAGGACCGGGGCTCGTGAACAAGAAAGGACAATGGAATGTACGGGGCATGAGAGTAGAGGGAAGGACTATTAAGGAGATGGAAAAGGAGCAGCAGAAGATGGGGAAGACAGATAAAGGAACATAGTGGGGGTGCGAATAAGAACAAAGTGTAATGAGGGGCTGGAAAGACATACAGACAGACACACACTCAAATGTGATTAAAAAAAACTTGACATGTATAGAAAATATATTTTAAGAAATAAAAAAAAGAAAGTATAATAAAACCACCAACTTAAAAAAAAACTTTACAGAAGTTATTGCAGACAAGGTGCATGCTTTTAATCCTCGGGAGGCAGAGTCAGGCAGATCTCTGTGGTCTTGTCTGGTCTACATAGTGAGTTCCAGGGCAACCAAAGCTACATAATGAGATCCTGTCTCAAAAAAACAAAAACAAAAATTATTTCAAAAACTTTTAAGTGGATCATCATGGATGGCAACTGTATAATTAGCTGTACAATTAACATTGAGCTGTGCACTTTCAATTTGTTAAGAAAGATGATCGTATGTTATAGGTACTTTAATCACAAAGTACAACTAGGATGAAGGGGCTCGCAAGCCTCCATCCAGTCCTGGATCTATAGACAGTTAATTATTGCTGGGAAAGGAGAGACATGTTCTTCAGCGGTGTAGTCACTGAAAAAGTGCTCATGTTCCTTTAAATAATCCCTCACCCATGCTCCCCTAAGAAACACTCCAAAGACACAAGAGTAGAAGGGAACTAGTGAGGTTCATGAGAGCAGGCGAGAGACAAAAGAGGGTAAAGAAAAAAGAACTTGATAAAAATACATTATATACATGTATGAAAATATCGTCATGAAACTTATATACAATTAATACATGCTAATATAAAACAAAAATCCTGGTCATGAACAAGGAGAATAAAGAAAATGACTGTTCTGTTCCTTATTATTTGTTAATATAATAAAACAAACATACACAAGTGCAATTTTAAAATCCTTTCAAAAGTTTAGTTTTCTGTTACCTCTCTGTGTCTTCCAGATCCTGAATTTCTTTGGTGGAAAGAAAACTGCTGTCTTTACTACTGTTGGTTTCTTGTTCTTCCAAATTCTCTTTATCTAAAGCAGTTGAGAGAGCTAACTTTATTAAAATGAAAATTAGTTGTGAGCACTTTTTAAAATGAACTGCAAAACTTAAAGCCATCAGTAGTTCTGCAAGTATGAATGCATCAGCTCCCTTTCCCAGGAGAGCAGAGGGCCAGATGGCAGTCTGCAGGGCACCAGTACTCGCAGCAGCTGCTTCTGGGGTCTTGGGAGATCTCTGGCGCCAGGTGAAGCTACAGGAAACCTAGCCGGTGCCAAGTACAGAGAACTATATAAAGCAAAGGAAAGAAGGCACACAAGGAGGAGGCGAGCAGCCCTAAAAATAAGCCACACGATTGTGCGTTAGGGCACTCTTCCCTTTCTTGTTCTTGGATGCTCCTATGGCAGAACTTCATGGAAGGAATTTGGGCGGGATAAGGATGTACCCTTTAATGCATGCCAAGAATTTTACTAATACTGTCTCCTTTCATTGGCCAACAGAATTATGAAAGGAAGAGAAATAACATTTGCTAATTAGTGCACCAAGCACTGTGCACAGAGCTATCACGATCACGAGACAGGAACTACTGTTCCCATCACACAGATAAGGAGAGATAAAGTTCAGAAATGAAGCAGTTTGTTAGACAAAATTAACTGGTAGAACTGGAATTAAAATGGAGTTGTACCCGACCTAAGTCACACTCTTTCATATGCATTCCATAAAAACTTCATGAAAAGACCTGGCTATTGGCTTACCATTTTCAGTGGCGCTCAGACCATGTGCTGTGTTCTCCTGTGACACCATGGGTGAAATCTGCTGTTGCTTCAGATGCTCTGTAACATTACAAAAACAAAAGGCAACTTATCCCACCTTTCCATAGCATACACTTTTCTAGGACAGGGGCTCTCAAAGGACAGTCTTCAAATCTGCATTATTGCTGTTGTTCCTCACCTGAAATGTAGAAATAAAAATAAAAACCGAGGAGGAGTCCGGGAACACAGCTACTGAAATGTGGGAAGTGAAGAGCAAGCTCACATGGTTAATGAACTTTTGTAATTAAAAACAAAAGTGATAAATAAGAGAATTGATATTGAATATATGTTTATGTTCTTTTGGTTTTAAAAACAGACTTAAAGATTTTATTTGTATGAGTATGTATCTATGTTTGTAAATGTCTTGTGCCCACAGAGATCATAAGAAGGCTTCAGATCCCCTGGAACTGAGCTACAGATGGTTGTGATCCACCATGTGGGTGCAGAGAACCAAACCCAGGCTCTCTGCAAGAGTACGTGTCCTTAACTGCTAAGCTATCTCTCCAGCCCTGTAATCTTGTACTCTTTCAATAGCAGAGCCACCCACAAGTGTCTCCATCTCTACTGGCCTATATGTCACTTTTTTACTATGTATATCCATGTTCCCACTTCCAAGATCAGCAGATGCTGAGCTCACTGGCTGCTCTGCATTTGTTAGGTGCTGACTTCCTTCAGAATGCTCTGCAGAGCAGAGAGAGCAGAGCAGAGAGAGCAGAGAGAGCAGAGAGAGCAGAGAGAGCAGAGCAGAGAGAGCAGAGAGAGCAGAGAGAGCAGAGAGAGCAGAGCAGAGAGAGCAGAGAGAGCAGAGAGAGCAGAGCAGAGAGAGCAGAGAGAGCAGAGCAGAGCAGAGAGAGCAGAGAGAGCAGAGCAGAGAGAGCAGAGAGAGCAGAGAGAGCAGAGAG